CGATCAATTCCATTTCTCCCGTGAAATCCAAGATCGTACTATTCTGTAACACTCAGTAATTCATATTTACGGTGATCGTACTAGGACAGCTGCGGGCGTTGCGGGGAGAATCGGGGTATGAAAGCGGCGAGTCGCCGTCCTTCGTACTACCTGCATTGTATCATGATTTTCCCAATATCTTCCTTATTTATGCTTCGATTTTCGAAATCGAAGAACCATTCGCATCTTGAAACATAGGCGCATCGACATTATTTCAAGTATTTTTTTGATTAGCTTTATAGTTACTGAGATAATGCGAGGTATATGAAAATCAATTTAACGAAAATTCACAAGTTTCGAGTTATAGCCGTTTGAAATATGATTTTCTCATATATCGTAATGTAATTGGTGAATTTCAAAATTTTCTATAATTTGTTCTACTTGTCACACGAAATCAAGATTCGATAGGGTGGAAGTTCTGGAACCCATCAATATTTTCCACGAATAAAAAAAAATCCATATTTTTTTTATAAATTACCCCCTACCCCCCAAACGCACAGGACGATTTTTTGACGACAAGTGGATCCATGATCTGGAGATGGTAGGTAACAATTCTTGCCATGTCACAGCTTTTTACCTCCGATTTCCCACCAACTTTTGATCTAAGCGACTTACGGTTCGTTTGGCACTCTACTAGAAATTGTGAATTGACAATGAATGGTAGATCTCAAAAACCTACCCCTCAGTCTGAGCCAAATCCACGGCACAGCGATTTATTTGCTCCTATTATTCCGGACATACTTTTGTCATGTCATAACTAGTTGAAACAAATAGAAAATGAAAGGAATACATTTTCCTTCTGCTAATATCCAAACGTGCCGCGATTCAAACTGATCTAAGTTAGTGGCAGAGCGTCAGTATATCCGTGAATATTTCGCCTTCGTATAGATCGATAGATAATATCCGATGGAGTAGTGTGAAATTCATGTGGTGCTCACACTACAAGTGGATTAGAACCCACATGTTTTCCACACTGGTTCATCGGATATTATCTCAATAGAAGGGGGCGAAACATTCTCGGTAGTATTATTGACGCTCTGCCACTAACTCAGATCAGTCTGAATCGCTGCACGTTTGGATATTCGCGAAGGCGACATCATCCCTTTCTCTTTGCTTTTTGTTTCAACTCGTTATCATCATGACGGAAGTAAGTCCGGAATATTAGCAGTAAATAAATCGTTGTGCCGTGGATTTGGCTCTGACTGAGGTGTGTGATATTCCTTATTCACTTTCATTTCCGAATTAAAAAATGATTTTGAATTGATTTTTCTCTTGTTTTTCAAATTGAACACCCCTTATATTTTTTGACCATCTGATGAAAAATTATGAGTCGACTACTTTTTGTTCGCGAATATTTCTAATCTTTCCTGATTTATAAAATTTTTAAAACTCATTTCGAAGGCCAATTACAATATGCGTCATATTGAGATATGTTCTTGTTTCTCGATCTCATGTTTTTGTGTATATTTCGCATCGGATTTTTTTATTTGCCATCATTTTTATTTTGATCAATTATGCATGAAGAAAATTTGATGATATATTGAGTTTATGGCACATCGGAATGTGAATCAGTGAAAATAATGAAAGTTCAATAATCCGAAAATGAGCTGTAGCGACAAACAAACAAACAATTTTTGTATTAATCTTATATCACAGGGCCAAAAAATATGACTTTAGAAGAAAAAAAAACGAAAAAATTCAATTCGAGAAGTTACTAATTGAAAAACATTTTCAGAGACGGGAGTATAGATCAGTGAGAATAATCATTCATCTATCATCAAGTTTTCAAGTATGCATCTGCTGGTGACATTATCCCGCAACAAAAAATCATTACTTTCGACATTAAAGAATTGTAGATAATATTGGAGGGGTAGATGGAGGCCACTGAAATGCTTGAAAAAATGTGCTAATATACACAGTGACCCATTTGAAAGTGGGCCACCCTCTAATCTTTTATTTTCATTTGTGTAGCGATTTTGACGAACTTTTTTTTTAAATTTGGAGGGGAAAATGCGTGTGTTTTGGTTTCAAGCGGTGTCCACTTTTTCGAAAAACACTGCCTACTAGATCACATTCAGAGGTTCAAAAATCCAGAATCCATATTAGCGATATTTTTAGAAAAAATCTGCGTACGCCACTGAAATCGACATCCTGATGAGGTAACAAATGAATTACGGCTCTATTTAATAACAAATTGAAAACATTCAATAGACATTCTCATAAAGACATTCCTATAAAGACATTCTTCTAACATTTTCAACTTTTTCTTTATACAGAGTGACCAGAGATAAAACCGACAAAACAAAAATAGAGTTAGTTATATGGACTGTCAATATGACAAAACCGCTTTGTTACTGACATACAGAGTGATTTATGGATTTTGACATAAAATTCAATCCGCCATATTAAATACAGGGATTACCCGATTTTGTTCTTCAGTTTTTTTTAGGTCCCAAGACTGAATTATGATATATAACTACGAAGTTATCGAAGAGAATAACAACAATTATGTTTTGGTTGCGTAAATATTTATTATATTTCCATTTTTGCTGATATTTTACCCGTCAAATAATGAAAAAAACTTCAATAATATAATTTATTACGGAATGATTGATATCCTGCCAGAAACTTTCTCAACATGTTCCTATAGCATTTTTCCCGTAGATTCATAATTATTATACAGGGTGAGTTATTCTCACAATATATAACTCAACATAGGAAAAAATAATATTCCGGTTATGATATTAGTTTCCTTCAAAGGGCTACTTGTTGAAGCCTTCGAGTTCAGTTCATGTACCAAATTTGAACCCAATCGGGTAATTCCTGTATTTAATATGACAGATTGAATTTTATGTCGAAATCCATTAATCACTCTGTATGTCAGGTACGAAGCGGTTTTAGACAATTGTAAATGGCATTTTTCAATCATATTGGCAGTCCCTATAACCCCATAAGTTTTGTCGGTTTCATCTCTGGGTACCCTGTATCCCTTGGGGGAGTTAAGTCGAGAGATCTGGGAGAAAACGGCATTTTTTTTTTTTTTTTTTTTTTTTTTTCATCGATTGGAGCGCACGAAAGGGAATCCCTATAATGTTCAAAGAACATCGTGCGTTCCTAAGGAGGATAGGGACAGGAGGTAGGTATTGGAATTTTTTTTGAATTTTTGGAGATTATATGTTGTTGGGAATACTTCCACAGGCAATGAATTCCAGAGCCTAGCCGTTCTATGGATGAAGGAGTCTTGATAAAGTGCTGTTCGACATCGTTCGAGGTTGACAACGAAAGGATGTGCTGACTGGGCTTGTCTAGTTCGTCTGATTGGTATTGCTAGTGAAGGGATGATTGCAGAGATTTCCGAAGAACATTTCCCGTGGAAGTATCGATAGAAAAGTGAAAGGTCGCCGACCTTTCTACGGTGTTCCAATGATGTCAAAGAGTGAGTGAGTGTGGCGTCACCCACCAGGCGAATGGCTCTTCTCTGGATGGAATCTAAGAGCATCAGCGTATGTTTTGGTGCTGAACCCCATATGTGGGAACAGTATTCTAGAACAGGCCGTATCTGCGCTTTGTAGATCATGAGGAGCTGTTGAGGTGTAAAGTAGCTTTTCGCACGGAACAAGAATCCGAGTTTTTGTGAAGCAGCTTTTGCGATGGATCTGACATGATTATCCCAAGAAAGAGTGTTGCTGATGGAAATACCGAGCATAGATATGTTGGGCTTGGTGGGGATGGTGGAGCCAGACATAACAATATCGGGCATACTGAGTTCCGCCTTTCTAGAGAAAATGCAGGCTTGAGTTTTGGTGGCGTTGAATTCAACTAGGTTGTTCGTTCCCCAGGCTGTGATTTCAGCAAGATCTTCATTGACAGCATTGACCTGCCTGCGCCGTGAGTTCTTAGTTTCCTGGGAGGAAATGGGAATTCTGGAAGAGAAGAATTACTTTGCGGTCATGTATAAGCAATTGCAAAGCCTACTATTATGAATAATACAACATAAAAGCTTCTCAATGCATTATGAACAACTTGTTGTCAGTAATGTAGTCATGTAATCGTTGATGTTGAATATTTTTTCGTGAAATTTGGCACAGATCTATTTCAGAGGATACCGATTTCATTGGGATAAGCAGAGTTTCTCTTGAAAAATCGCTAATATGAATTATGAATTTGATCAGGTAGGCCTTGTTTTTTGAAGAAAGTGAACGCCACTTGGCTCCAAAATATGCCTTTCCCCCCTCCACATCAGGAAAAAATCATCAAATTGGTTTATAAATAAAAAAAATCTATGAGGGTGGCCTGCTTTCATGGTTTGTCATTAGAAAAAATTGACCCCGACAACCTAAATTTTTATTCGATGCGCCTTGCAACTAATATCGCATTTTTAATCTGTTATGAATTGAAAGTAAATAGTGGCAATTTTTCTCAAACGCCATAGCCAAGTTTTCATGGCACATCACTCCTGAAGTGCATTAAATAGTAAAAAATCCAAAGGGACTAAAGTTCTTTTTAATCTTTCAGCGATTTACAAACATTTGGCAACGGGATTAAAAGTGACACTTTGATCCCTAATAGGTTTAACTACCATTTTTCTCCTGTGGTATTTACCTGGACATTTTTCTCCTAAAATTAGGGAGCAAACGCAAGCTTTACTATACCTAGGTACTAACCCATTGGAGATTATTTTTCATCAGTAGGAAGATAATATGCAATGAAAAAATAGGTGATTATAAATGAAATCGTGTTTCGGAGTATTCGAATGAGATTAATTTCATGTTGCAGCTTGCATTTGATATAAAATGTGAATCGGATTTCGTATCGCAAATAGGTTGAAAATTATGCGATGAGAAGTATTCATAAGAATACGTAGATAACAATATTGTTTTTATCAAGAGGAAGTGTTATTTCCTGTTATCGAGCTATCAGATATGCGTTCATTAAGTTCTCTGAATTAGTTGGCTTTTCACGGTTATACATACAATAATAAAAAAAATGGAGGAAGAAATAATCGAAAAACCATCCATTCGTAATTTATACAGACAATCTTCATCAGAAACAAGATTATCACCAGTTCATTTATCCCAAGAAGAAAGTTCAGATTCTGACGATGATCATAGTCAACCCAAAATAGTCGATTGCACCATGAAAACAGATATCCAAGGGATATATCAAGTGAAACAGAAAGACCAGTTCAAAATGGACCTTGAAGAAAAACTTGGAAACAAAATGCATGAACCTGAGTTCCGAATAATTGTGAAAAGTAAATCTTCTGAGACGGTGAACCCCAGCAAGATATTGAAAGAGGATATAGCAGAACCAGATCGTGTTTCCAAAGAAGAACCCGATAATAAACTTGCGTTTAACCAAATGAAGAAGACGGACCAGATTAAAAGAGAACTGGAAAAAAAACTTGAAAATATGAACAAACCTAAAGTTATAGCTGAAATTTCTGTAAATTCTAAGGCAGTAGGGAAAATAACAGAACCAAATCGTGTTTTGAAAGAAGAACTCGATGATAAACTGAAAAAGAAGCATCTGATCAAAAGAGAACTGGAAGAGAAACTTGGAAATGTGAACAAATCTGAAGTTATTACTGAAATTGCTGTTAATAACAAGACAGTAACACCCAGCAAATTATTGAAGGAAAATACTTGTGAAACAATTCTTATTTCGGAAGGAACATTCGATAATAAACGCGATATTTCGGAACAGACCTATAAACCTCAAGAATATACAGTTTCAGGAAATATAGGATACAAATATAATACCGTCGAAACTATCTTGTTGGATAAGGAAATGGACTACACTTCAACTATAAAAGATGCGTCTGAACCATCAGTTGGTCTTCTGAAGGGTGAGTGCAATAACTGGCAATTATTCTGATTTTGTTCTGATTCTACGCATGAATTACATTCTCCCGAAATCTATGCATCGACTCGTATAAACGCGAATACTGATACAATATAAGTGATTCTCTCCTGAATGTCAATTGATTTCGATTTAGCCAGGTCACGCTAGATACTTAGAGACCGGTTTAGAGCTCTTTATTGTTGTGTAGGGCAGTCTCCAGCCGGCCGTCCTAAGACCGCCGACTAAGCGTTATAGCCTAGCCAAACAAAAATCAAGTCGGCATTATATTTCCTCCCCTCCCTATGGAGATCTCCACCGGAGTAAGCTTTTTTTAAATATTCTTCCTTCTTGTTCAATATATATACTAGGAATATTCTCAGAATATTTAAAATATTCAATTCCGAATATGTTCATAGAACGTCTTTAGAATATTTGTATCACATTTGTGAGATTATTCAAATATTCTCTAAGAATATCCTATGTGGATGTTCTATGAATGACATTGTGCTATCTGAGATATTGGCAGTCCCTATACCCCCATAATTCAGGTTGGGATAGTGTAGGATATATAAGCAAGCCAAGGTTAGTTTAGTTCATCGTACCAGTATATCACGACCTGACGAAGCGAAACATGTCGTGTGTGTGTTTGAGAATTTTGTGGAAATCTTAGAGTTTGTGAATTTTTACATTTGCCATGGATTTCCATCAAGTAACGGCCGAGTCAATTCAAAAAATAGATAAAATGTGTCTCCTGTCTCAGTAACAGGGTATATGTGTTAATTTTGTTTGAAAATTTCAAAACTATTTTGTGTTTTGGTGCCTTGGTGTATATAAGTACTTTGAAACTGATTTGCGTATCATTGTCATATATTTGTCGAGGATTTTAATGTATATCAATTGATTATATGTTGATGTATTGGATTCTTTAATGGAACTTCAATAATGCACGTACTTACATTACCAGAAAAAATAACATATATTATTATAATAAAATATAGTAATTTTCAAATTTTGGAATACAATAAATAATAAAACACCCTGTAACAGACAGGAGACACATTTTATTTATGCGATTTGAGTTAAATCTTCATATTTTGAGCTCAGGATTTCATAGCTCTGAAATGTTTCCTATTATAGTAATGAAACGCCCTGTATATATATATAGGCATAGAAGAATAGTCTATAATCGTTCTATAATTATTTATTTTTTATCCTTTTAGAGATATTGCGGTGAACCAAACACCCTGTATATTCTTACACATACATATCAATATGATGGCACTTTCATAAAGAATGAAACAGTTTTAGCATAATTTAAAAACTTCCAGGCACAGGATTCTTATTTACCACATATAATTTTATTTCGTTCCTGTTCCGAGACGCTCGTCTTGGGCTGCTGTTGAGACAAGTGTCCATTAGGCGATCATGCATGACATACTTGCAGCTTGCAGATTATACGAAAACTGTGCGATGTGCTTACGTGCGTAAAGGAGCTATTTACTAAGCCTATATTTCGTGTGTTCTTGCCCAAGGATTATCAACTCTCAACAGGATGGTTTATCCCCTATCCGTCAATATACAATTAATAATCCTTGGTTCTTGCCTACTGTCTATAGTGGCCGTAGGTTAACCATATAATATATCCATTTCAGCATACCGAATCGAAAAAGAAGAAGAAGAGCCGAGTTGTGAAAAAGAAGAAGAAGAAGACGACAGAGTATTTGAGAGAACATTTCAAAATAAAAATAAACATCTCCATCCCACAACTAGAGACGTTCAAATGGCTACTTTACGACCTAAGTCTCCTGCTCCTAGGCCAGTTCCAGTAAAAGGAGAAAAAGATGAGTCAATCTGGGATAAACTTGGCACTCTAGGACGTAAAAAAAGGATCAAGGAAGGTATCTAAAAGATATTCGTAATTTAACAAATCCAAATGATATGTATATCCTTATATGGTTATGTTTGTTGACATCAACTAGGTGTGGTGTTTATTTTGGTTTTCATAGCTTAATATTTATACACTGTTTCTTTTTCAGTACAAGAGGTACAAGCTGAAGGAAAATATGCAATTGACTCTCCAGGTTGTCCAACAGCTCCTGTCATACCTCCTGAGGAATATAATTTAGGTAATAAAAATGGTGAAATTATTCATTGTTCATTACTAAGTGATTCTGCACAAGTGATATTTTATCAATCTCAATAATAAAACACCAGTAGTACCAGTATTATATTGCTACAGATCTTACTCAACTTTATGCCAAAGTTATCAGATATCTGATTCATTCTGATTCAATTTCATAATCCTAATGCAAGGTGTGCTACAAGGTTATTACTAATCAATACCTATAATGATATATATGCATGCAGATCATTCAACTTCAATAACTTGATAAAAATTGAAAGAAATGGTTCCAAAAAATACTTACATAGGTACAAGTACATTTTTTCCATTTCTGGATTTTTCCTATCAGGAGTAAATACAACTCTAATGATTAATGATCACAAAAAACTATTTTTTTACAATTGGTTGTGTGACTAGGGAAGTTTCTTATTTTTTATACTGGGAACATTTAAATAAAATTGGTATATTTGGGCTCCCATGAATGTATGGATTATTATCATTTAAGTTTTTCTCTACTTCACATAATTGGGTAGACCTTGAGATGGACCAATTTTACCATGTTGAGATTCCTGTTTTCCATCTACCTATCTATTTACCATATTGGTGATTTTTTGGATTCAATGCCCCCTCATTGGGCATGTATCAAACAGGTGTGGTCCCTGCAAAAATACATGAATGAATTTGATATTTTAGATTTTCCTTCATGAGAATCAGAATATGCATCAATTTTGTCCCTCTTCACTTTTCTATCCATACTTCCACGGGAAATGTTCTTCGGAAATCTCTGCTATCATCCCATCACTAGGAATACCAATCAGACAAACTAGACAAGCCCACTCAGCACATCCTTTCGTTGTCAACCTCAAAAGATGTCGAACAGCACTTTATCAAGACTCCTTCATCCATAGAACGACTAGGCTCTGGAATTCATTGCCTGTGGAAGTATTCCCAACAACATATAATCTCCAAAAGTTAAAAAAAAATTCCAATACCTACCTCCTGTCCCTTTCCTCCCTAGGAACGCACGATGTTCTTTGAACATTATAGGGATTCCCTTTCGTGCGCTCCAAGCGATAAAAAAAAATATTTTTTTCGTTTAGCCTTAAAATATTTTTGATTATGCCATAAGAATGTGATTTTTATGAATATAAGATTTTTTTCAACCCCAAAATTTTTAAAGCATTTTGGTTTCTTTGTGGAAAAGTAATACTTTGTTCTGAAAGTACCAGTGTTTCTTTCTCTTCATTTCTAAAAAAAATGAGTAAAATTGATGAAAGTTTCAAGGTGTCCTGCCATCAAATAGTTAACACTTTATATAGGGTGGTTCATGAGGAGACTCACATGGCAAAATGCTGAATAGGGCAAATCAAGACTGAAACAAGGTATTATGTGAAATTGCCATATAACTTTTTTGGCTGATATTTCAGAAATTATTCATCATAATTGGCTGAAATTTGGCAGCTAGGTTTCTCTATTGCAACTATTCAAGAAGGCATGAAAATCTCCACCAAAACAAAGTCATTAATAATGTCTATCTAGAATTTCGAGAAATAAAATAACATGTTTTTTTTTACTTATCTCCAATTGCATTCAATTTCTATCCACCAAAACTGTACAAAAAATCAATTTGCATGAACCCAGTTAAAAGTTGAGAGTTAGCAGCCAGGTCAAAATGGAAAATTCATTGGAACGATTTGGGTTCATATTTTTTTTATTGAACTGGCCAAAGTGTGCCCTGCAAATTGAAGAGCAATTCTTATGATCGCCTTGAATCCAGGGTTGGGCTGATTAAAATCAATTGATTTAAATCAAGATAAAAATCATGATTTAAATCAAGTGATTTTTTTTTCAAATCACAATTTAAATCAAAATAATAATTTCGAGGACATTTATTATTTATTAGAATAATAAAAAATGTTAAACTGAAATAAAATAGTAAAACCCCTAAAAAAACGGGATATTGAAACATATACATATGTATATCTTAATCATACTCTACATTATTTTATAATCATAAGTTTTCTGACATTGAAACTAACATAGAACATTTTAATTTTCATTATAATATTTAAACAAAAATACTAATTTTTCTGCCTTTTCAACCCCCAGTATATTTCTCAAATCTGAATGTACCAGCCCAAAGGTACTGAACACTCGTTCCACTGAGGCTGAAGAAGCAATAGCACAAAGAAATTGTTTTAACACAGGTATCTGTTTCTTGATTTCTGATTCATTGTCAGCTTGTGATAGCCACCACTGAATTTCACTGACGTTTTTCGTAATTTCTTCAGAGAACATGATGTTTTTGAAGGGCAAAGAACGAGCTTTAAATTTTATTAGTAATGGTAATATTCCACTATTACCATACATTTCTTTTATAGTTTTTAAAGCCAAATTTTTTTCATTGACAGTCAACCTGTACTTTTGCTTAGATGGGTCCATCATATAAGCTATCAAGTGGTAAGGGGTCAGTGCTTGTTCATATCGGCGCTGAAATTTTTGAAGCTGTTGAACTGATAGATTTTGATCTTCTTCAAAGATATATTCTAAGTTTTTCCATTGTTCAACGGCATTTGAAAGAGTATGTTGACATGAATATTGACAGGTACCTATATTTATCGCGCATTAAGACCAAAATAAAAAAAAATCAGAAAAATCAAAAAAATCTGAAAAATCAAAAAAATCATGATTTTTTTATTTAAATCAATGATTTTTGATTTAAAAAAAAATCAAGATTTGCCCAACCCTGCTTGAATCTGATGAAAGTTTTCGAGAAAAGTGATCACAAAGTAAACTTTTTTGTCATAATATGCCATCGTGAATAGTTTCAGTACAGAAACGTCACTGCCAAATTTCGGCAGATTATGAAGAATCATTTTTCAAATATCGGCCATCAAAGTTATATGGCAATTTCACCATAATATCCTGTATCTTCGTTATGGAGGGCCAGAAAAATTTGTCATGTATATACATCAACTTGTCTTGATTTCCCAAAAATCCAAACTCATTAGTAAAACTTATTCGCTCCACTTACATGGAAGTTGCTTTCCATAAATCCGAAAAAAAGCTGAGTTTTGCTCCCGTACCTATGTAATACTGGGAATAACCCTTTTTGTAGGAGGTTTATTCCTATGATTCCTATATAGTTCATTGGAAGTAGGTACAAGAGCATTACATCATATTCTGTTTTAACGATTCTGAAAATAAAAGTTTGATAGTTAAGTATTTGAACAAGTGGGACTTCATTTCACAGGCTGGCCTTTTATAATCTGAAATAAAACAATGTCAGAATTCTCAAAAATATAAAAATTCAAGGTATGATGAGGCTTCTGTAGGCTTCGATTTTATTTTTAATGTGGAACTTCACACGCAATTTTCATGAACAGAGAAGATATAAACCGAACATTAAGTACCTACTGTGAGTCTTAGTATAAGAAGAATGTAGTGTAAGACTAATGAAAATGAATGACGAAAGGGAGAGAATGAAGGCGTTCAGTACGCTGAGCTTAGAGTATCTAAACAATTCGGTTTTGCAGATAGAACAAGTTACGAACGATATGACTGCACGTTTGAACTAATACCACCATTTCTAGCGAGTGTTTAGGATTTCGTTTTTAAATTGACAGTGAGTTGATGATCGCACCATTTATATTGTCCGCGCATTCTTTCCGATGGTAATCTCTCACGAGCCGGACTATATCATAATCTGAAGATTTGTACTAGCTGCATACACGTAACTGATCAATCAAATGAAGAAATTTTGTATTTCGTGTACAAAAGTTCTATTATCAATCGCAGAGCGCTTTTGTCAAATGAACCATCAAAGGTCCAAAATATAATCGACTCCATCACTATGGTACAAACGGAAGTGAAAACATTTAAAAAATAAGTACCCCAATGGGACTATTGTAAAATTCAAAATTACATATTATTAAATTTTTTTCAGGTCCGAGCATGAGGGACCTTAACCTTAATTAGTATGACGTTATTGTAAATATATTGTTGAAATCTTAAACATATTGTTGACTATAGTGTCGATGTCCATGAATAAATTGACATGGATATAAAGTAGACAAATGGCATAGTAACCACAGAGCACTGGCAAAAATTGACATTGTGATTTGTTTTTATTTTGAAAAATAGAATTGAAAGATAATAACTTTTATTAGAAAACTAAAAGAAGAGATTTCCATGCAAAACTTGAGAGAACTAGTGTTCGAGCTCTGTAATTTATTTTCCCTTTCATCTTTGTTATATTCTCTTTATTTTCCAATGATCTTATACAGGGTGTTCCTTAATGGCTCAAGGGAGCGATTCTCGGACTAAAACTTCGTATAAACGTATGTCGTAAACATCCTAACTCTTGAGGTACAGGGTATGAAAGTTGAAAATATGCATATAATATTTTTTCCCACCCTATATAGCTTTTCGTGATTGCAAAATTCTGTCTGCTATGTGACTGAAACGGTGCAAAAATGTCAAAATGTTACATACTGTGGATATCCAGTAATGGATGTCGTGAATGGAGTACTCAGATCAGCATTTACATCCAAAATTTGAAGCCTGGTCTCGTTTTTCCGTTTTTTCTCGAAAACGGAGCGTCCTATCGAGTATCAACAAGAGTATCTTCCTTCATTGCTCACTTTCAAGAAAAATATAAACAATAATATACCCCTAAATGCGCCACTGGAAGTACGATTCGCTGAATGTTATCACTATATCATTTGCCCTCAGGTTCTCACCAATGCATTGCAAAGTTTTCGATTTTTGTGAAGCGGTTGCTTAGTAATTGAATAAAACTAATTATGTTTCATCATCTTTGAATCCCTGTATCTCAAAATTCAGGACGTTTACGACACACCTAAATATGAAGCTTTTTTTCTTGAAATATGTCCAAGAATCGCGCCCTTGGAGATTAGCATGACATCAAGCAAAAAACATAAAAAATAAAAAATTGTTCATTCGGTTGCCCCATTACGAGCAACCCTCAAGTGATCCCAAACACTTTCTTGGGCCATCAGAAAATATGCTGCAGTCGTTGGATTCGAAACAGCTTTAACAGGTGACAAAACTGGCTGTATAAACTTACCTTATATCATTTGTTGACTTAAAAGAAAATTCCCTTTTTTCAAACTAGATTTCGACAACTAATGTCAGTTCCTGACGAAGTCAATTACAAACTATGTTTTGGAACCAAAGAACTTCTGCCAACAAAAAATATTTCCGATACTTTTTAATTATGCACATTTTCGAAAAATACCTTGTAACTCTGGAACCATCGAGTTTGGCATTGAAATTGACATTCGGGCACCGACATTATGTTCTAATCTAGTTTGAAATTAAGACGTTCCCTTCAAAAGTGTCCAATTTGGGCCACTTCATTCAGTCAACTGTAGTATTGATTTGGTACTTTTGATAGACAAAATCATTTCCATAAAACTATTGTATAGTACGAGAGCCGGCTCCACATTTCGACCGTCAGAGGCATGTAATAGATATTTATGTACCCAGTTAGAAATCCCGAAAAAGGGCTTGACCTCTGAAAATATATCGCCCTGTAGATTCTTACAATCGCCCTACATACTGTATAATGTAAACCTTGAAACGTAACTTATGTTTCAAATTTAATTTGAATATTTCGAATACTAGAAGAGGCATGAAGAAAAAAAATCTTGAAATTTTAACGCTCTTTAGATGGGTAACGAAGCGTTTGCCGACATATGTTTATGGAAAAAAATTCTAATTTTGATCTGAAAAATAAGCACCTGATATCTTGATACTGAGATTTGAAACACCCTGTATATCAAATGTTGCAGTAGGAATTCTATAAAAAAAACTGTTCATCATACATCACACACGTCATGGTGTGACATAATATGCCGACCTCACTATTCCTATTAGCCCAGTCACCTTAGAAAAAATAGCGGGAATCGGAGCCAAAGTTTTGAAAATTGGTGTACGTGTTCCTTTTAGCATTACATCTTACCAAAAAAAAGTCACAACTCATACCTGTAGAGCTTGCGCCGCCATCTTGGAAAATAGGTGCAATATTTCAGTTTTTCACGTATATCTCGGTAACTGTCAACTTTATCGCGATAAAGGTGGAGAGGTAAAAGGAAGCTAACAAAATTTATCGTAAAAAAGTACTCATTGATTATTTCCGAAATATGCACGGTTTTGGACTTATGTCGCCACAACGATTTGGCAAAATATAAAATTCTACTGCAAACCGACTGGACAAACTATAATTTAGTTGTATACGCTCATGGTGACCAGTAGAAAAGCTGCTAGATCTCATAATCAAGAGTTTCAGGATGGACAGAGTTGCCCCAATTGTCAGCAGGAGCAATACAGTACTGTTTCGACCCACCAGGTCTCATCAGCCGCTCTCGTTCTGCTGACAACTGGGACAATAACTCTACGCTTCGGGTATATCACCCATTTCGAAGACGCAGGGTATAACATGGAGAATAAGGCATGTATTCTTCGTTATTTGAAAATACAACCATCGAGTCGGGTTCGTCCGGAACATCGTATTCATTACTTAGAAGAGATGAAACGGAAAAATCGAACTTCACCTCGGATTCCAGCGTTTCGGTGTTGTCCTGACAGTATTGTGCGTTGAGGCACGATGCTCCAAGGCAATATTCGCAACTAATCGAGCATTTAAGACCCGCTTTTCGGCATTCGCAGGCTGCCGTGCATCCTTTCTTGCAATCGCTAGAAATCATCTGGAGCAAAGAATCTGGAGCAGCAGGTAGGGTAGTTGGCACAGGAACCAGACCAACAGAACTCCTCTTTCACCCCCAAAGCTCAGAACATTTTTGATTACCCAACGACTCTTGTACCTGATGATTGACTCTGAAGGAGTGCTGCCTCAAAGCTGCTTCCGTCGGTGGCAGAGAAGCCAGATCTACTTTTTTTTTTTAGCAGATTTGGCTAACAGATTGTACCGTAGCTTCTTCAATGATGTTTTCGTTTTATGGACATCATACAGAGCTAGAAAGAATCTTTCACATGTAGTAGATACTTCTTCACTCTTGGCTTCCGGGTTGTTGAAAGCCTTCGCAACTTCTCGTAATGATGGCCGGTCCTTCATGAGTTTGAAGCATTTCAACTTTCCTTTTTTAATCTTTGGAAGAAGTCCATGGTAACTCAAAGTGGAGTGGTGTAGTTCATAGATGAAAACCCAAAGTCATCTCCACAACTTTTAAAAGTTGTGGAGATGACTTTGGGTTTTCATCTATGTTTCATTTTTTAAATAAACATGATGTGGTATCACAACCCCCAAAGGTATGTAAGAAAAGGATAGTTCTCTGTTATTTAATATTGGTTTGTAGTTCGCGGGAACAGTATACCTTTTTGCCTTTATACATTGCCTTTTTTGGTTTCACAAAGTAAATGTTGCGTTCTGCTGGAGCCAAAGCTATGAGTAGAATAAGTAGTTCTACATCTTATCCAACAACGGTGACTTGGGTAGAGGAAGACATTTCAATAGCTGTCTGTATTGTTAGCGAATCCGCATCGTCCACTGCTTGTTTTGTGATGAACCCTTCATTTTTTCTGATAATATAGCAATCAATCGCTTCTTGTTCTTCGGGTTAGCTAGTGATTTTTCTTGTGCGACAGTGACCGGCATGTTTTCATCAAACAAAACATAATAAGTCTGCACATGTATTTTTTAGAGCACGTCTATGCTGTTCAGCCTTTTTAGTTCCATCAGCATCATCAGAGTACCCGTCGAAAACAATCACCGAATTAGAGCCGTAGTGTTTCCTGACGTAGGCAATGTAACTGGAGCAGATTGACAGGAACGTTTGATTTTACTGCCAAATCATACGATGTAAAAGAAAAAAAACCATTAATATGTGGCACTTTATCAAGACTCCTTCATCCATAGAACGGCTAGGCTCTGGAATGAATTGCCTGTGGAAGTATTCCCAACAACATATAATCTCCAAAAGTTCAAAAAAATTTCAATACCTACCTCCTGTCCCTATCCTCCCTAGGAACGCGCGATGTTCTTTGAACATTATAGGGATACCCTTTCGTGCGCTCCAAGCAATAAAAAAAAAACACTGGTATTCTGTAATGGCCGATCGCTGTTTTGTGTTGCGAGGATCCTTGAATATAGCGCCGACTCTCTGACAGTTACTTGTAGTTGGAATATATGTATATCAGAATAATTATGAGTAAGTTTCTCAAATATCGCATATTGTTTCACGATTTACTGATAAACCATGCACTAAAAGAGTATTTATGTAGAGAACTTTTTTTTTCTAAATTCAATTTCCTTCATTTTACCTCAGCATATTGATATCGATAAAGTTAACAGATACTGAGATATAACCGAATAACTGAAAAAGTGCACACATTTTTCAAGATGGCGGAGTTAGCTCTACAGGTACAGGTGGTGACTTTTTTTTGGTTGAAAGTCATGCCAAAGGGAACATGTACACCAATTTTCAAAACTTTGGGTTCGATTCCCGCTATTCGTCAAATTTGATACTAAGGTGATTGGGCTATATCTATTTTATTACAGATGATAATGAACAGAGATGTATGATAGATCCAAAAGCATATGAAGACCAGAGATTCCTTGAACTAATAAATGTATTGAAGGAATGGGTTAATGACGAATTAGCTTCACAGAGAATAATTGTTCAAGATTTGTCTGAGGATCTGTATGATGGACAAGTGCTGCAAAAATTACTTGAAAAATTGACAGGTGACAAACTGGATGTTCCAGAGGTCACCCAGTCTGAAGAAGGGCAAAAGCAAAAGTTGGCAGTGGTTCTAAATCACTTCAATCAGGTGAGTTTGACCTGAGATATAGGATAATCTCAATTTGTTTTGAAATACCTTGAGCCAGTGGCATACATCCTTTGTTAATTCAGCGAGGAATCAACACTCCTCATCAGCAAAGGCATATGTTGCCATGGATATAAATAAATTGAATTTTTACTGGTCTGTCAAATGCATTATGCAACTGGCCCTTAGTGTTTCTGCAACATCAACTTCAGGAGTACCAAAAGGAAACAAGATTATTTACTGCATTTTTTAAGTTCTTGAACTTGAATTCATTTACCAGAAAATTGATTCTGTATTCATGTGATAAAACATACATACTTTATCAATAATCAGAAATGTATCTATGTTCTATAAAACATGATATTGTGATTATATAGGTAGACAACTTTACATTCTATTATTTCAATAATGATGGCTTTTAACATTGATTATCATGCTCTCATGTACAATAATTCTAATGGGGTTATTTTTATTTTATTTTATTCATACACCATCCAACAGCCGGAGCCAATTACAGGATGGGAAAGATAAACAATTAATTACAAATTACAATTTAGATACTAACTAGATTAATACTAACTATACATAAGTTTCATACTAAGGTGAATGGAGATGGGCATATCTGCATATGAGCTGAAAAAAAAAAAATACTATGAAGAGAGAAAAAAAAAGCTCACATGCAGATATGCACACTACCAAATAATACTACAACAATGCTCGTTTCAAACTAGCAATATTAGAACAGAGGATATCAAATGAATCTTGAGAAGACATATAATCTGAACATATTCTATAAATAGGTGAAAACTGCAGTAGATTAGATTGAGGTGTGCGCAAGTAGAAGAAATATTTATCTCTCACTGGCAATCCAGGAACATGTATATCAATGAGAGACAGTAAATGGGGACAATCAAGTTTGTTATTAAGCAATTTATATAGAAATAAGACTCCACTATAAGTACGGCGAGTAGCCAATAGTGCAGTTTCAAATCTACCTGTTAATGTCAATTGGGGCATTCCTCTATCTGGATATACCCCATCTACTCTAAACCAGAGGTGTTTCATGAATTTCCGCTGAATGTTTTCAATATTATTAGAATGAACATCATATCCAGGACTCCAGACCACCAAGGCATACTCCAGTTTTGACCTCACAAAAGCATTGAAAATTAGCTTCAGTGACTCAGTTTGCTGCATGAACTCTGAGTTTCTTAAAATAAATTCCAGTGTTTTGTAAACTTTTGCGACCATCCCAGTTATATGATCAACGAATGTTAGTTTAACATCAAAGACCACACCCAAGTCCTTGAACTGATAACATCTATCTAGCAACTCATTGTCGATACTATAGGTATACTCAATGATATGCTTCTTCCGCGTAAAAGACATATATTTACACTTTTTTATGTTGAGTGGCAATAAGTTAGAATTACACCAGGTATGAAGCCTTTGAAGGTCATCTTGGAGTAACGTACAATCCTGAATGCTATTGACTGTCGCATAAATCTTACAATCGTCTGCATATAATAACACATTTGACTTGAGGGTTCTGCATATGTCATTTATGAATATTGTGTTATACACACTAGTCAAATTCATACCACGAACCTAATTTATAGTGATCTTCCCACATTGAAAAACCAAATAGGTTCGAAACTCATATTCTAAAGACCTCACAAGAATGCAGGACATGTTGTATTTATGAAGTAAATTTGTAATTATCATTACCCAATTTTTGTTTTCTCCGTTTGATGTTTGCTGTAATTGTCAGAAAGTTTAACTAATTTTGATCCATCATTCAGTGGAATTTGAACAAAAGAAACGTTTCTTGCAATAATTTAGTTAAATAACCTGCGATAATTACAGAACTGCTCAAGTTAAAAGAAACATATAGGGTGATTCATTGAGAATGGGAAATCTCTGAAGTACAGATAGTGAACAATAAAATATTGAGATTTAGCCTAACATGCCTCATAAGAATGTTGCTGGTTCAGGAGATACATGGTGATCTAGGAAGAGCTTTTATTTTAAAATTTCTCAATAACTCTGTAAGTTTTAACAGCATGAACATGAAATCTTGTAGTTTCAGGTTTTCTTACATGAGGAATACGAGTTTGCAACTTATTTTGTGATTGCTTATAGAGGGCGCTAATGGCAATCTGTTACTTCGGTAAATTACATCATATCTTTGTCTATTCAAGGATGATCAAAATAATTGAAAAATCTGAAAGCCCGATCAATTTTACATAAAAATTTACACTTTTTCAAGTTGTCTACCTTTAATGGTTTATGTGTTATTTGCTCTTGAAGAGATTTATGTTCCACTTATAACATTTTCCGCTGATAACGATGTTGGATCGGGACAAAATGTAAACAATTTCATCTGCTCTTTTTATATGTCTATGTGAAAATCCGATATGGCGCCCATAAAAAAAAAATAAAGTTGATGGTGGCGTAAAGACAAAACGTCGGATAGTGAATCAGAAAATGCCATCGTATAGCAGGGAAAAAGTGGCAATGTAAATGTGCTATCAATTTTGATAATCTTCAACAAATCACGCCAGAAAAAAATGAAAATGATTTTACCAAAATTTCTGTTTTTTCGTCCAGAAATACACGGAATTTAAAAATTTTGTCGACGGCATATTTTGTAGTCACATAAATGCGCAACTTTGCCCTAAATTAACCATCTTCGTGTCCCATATATCCGGTATACAGAGTAGGCCAACGGAATAACTTCCGGAAGAATCTTCATTTGAATGTTATGTAGCCCATGTTTGGCACTTCTTTTGTTACATAAACTCCAACCAATCCCCAAAAAAGGAAACAAAAGCCTGCCCAACAATTATAGGCCAATTGCCCTGTTATCAGTCGTCTCTAAAGTGATGGAGAAAGCCATCAACATTGAGCTCATCAAATATCTGGAAAGCTCAGGAATCATTAATTATAGACAATATAGCTTTCGCCACCGAAGATCAACTGGATATTTACTTGCCTACGTTACAACATGGGGAATCTCTAGCTGTAGCGTTAGATATATGGAAGGCATTCGACCATGTTTGGCAAGAAGGACTGCTCCACAAACTACCATCATACGGCTTACCACCTCAGCGATGCCTGATATAATACTTTCTGGTACCACCATTCCCACCAAGACCACTATATCTATGCTCGGTATTAGCATCAGCAATATTCTCTCATGGGAAAATCATGTCGGATCGCAAAAGCTGCTTCTCAAAAACTCGGATTCTTGTTCCGTGCGAAAATCTACTGTACGCCTCAACAGCTCATGATCTACAAAGCACGAATATGGCCAGTTTTACAATACTATTCTCATGTATGGGGTTCAGAACCCAAACATACGCTGATGCTCATAGATTCCATCCAGAGAAGAGCTATTTGCCTACTGGGTGATGTCGAACAACATTCTGCCAAAACTCGTTCGTCCATTGAACGGCGAAGCTTTGAAATTCTTTGCCAATGAAAGTATTCCCTAGAACTTATAACCTCCAGAAGTAAACATCTACCACCTCTCCCAATCCTCCCTAGTTACGCACGATGTTCCAGGAACATTATAGGAATTTCCTTTCGTGCGCTCCAAGAAATTTAAAAAAAATATGTCAAAAATGAACTTGAATCATTTCAAAATAGAGCTCTTGCAAACTGAAATATTTATTTATTCACAGTAAATACTTGAGGTATCATGTAATTCTATTTACCGCAAACGATGCTTTCATGTGAAGTGTCAAACATCGGGCTACATAACATTTTATCTTCCCGCAAGAGGGCGCTGAAATTGAGAGAAAACATTCATATTCATTGTAATGTACTAGCCAAACCGCTAAATAAAAAGGCTATTAATAAACTTGTCCATTTATTATCCGCATACAGACATGATGCCACTCTCCTTAGTTAACCTCTCTAATAATGATTTTCCCTCTATTTTCTCATACGTTGACAACTACATATGACAATTAACCATTGACATTATTGACACATTTATGTGAAGCAATACTACCAACACAGAATGGTGACAATACATCACAAATCCCTCCCTCACAAGTTCAAACGAACCGGAGGCCTAACAACTCTCTTAGGTCTAACACTTTCCATTGTTTCATTTACTACACCTTCCTTAACCCCTGATCTTATACATTTGCTACTTCTAGGATTATTAACATTCTCAAGAGTAACTTCTTTTTCACCATTACTGTCATTTGTCTCCTTATCTGTTTCAACTATAGATTTATCATCAACGGTTGTTTTTACCGGTAAAATGTCACTTTTTTGTGGCATACATTGGGAATATTGAGGTATTTGAGGAAAGTCAGTAGAATAATCACTATGATTTCCACTGGTAAAAGCATTATGATTACTATCAACAAAGGCATGTTTTTTTTCTACATCATTATCTTCTGGTAAACTTCTAATGATTTGATTGACATGACGCTTCCATATAACTCTCTCATTCAACAGTTTGCAAAAATATATTCTATTCCCTAATACCTCATCTATTTCACATTGTACCCACGATTTTTTGTTTGGATTTCTATAATCTCTGCAATAGGCCCTCTCACCTACTATAAATCGCTCCTCTCTCCCCTCATTCTTCAAACTAAACATTCCTTCCTTTATACTACTACTTTTAACACTTAGCAAGTCCAATCTTGTCCTTATTTTACTTTTGAAAATAAGACTAGAAGGTGTGACACCAGTAGCCATATGTATCGAATTACGATAGTGAAAAAGATATCTGTTCATTAGGGTCTCAAAACTCACACTGCTATTAGTATCATCCTTCAATGCCTTACACATTCCAATCTTAAAACTTTTTACAGTGTTTTCTGCAAACCCGTTAGTTGCAGGGTGATATGGCGGTGATGTCAGGTGCTGTATACCATTGCCACTTAAAAATTTTGAAAACTCCTCTGAACAAAACTGACTACCGTTGTCGGTAACAACAACTCGCGGTAACCCATATCTACTGAAACTCTCTCTAAATTTTTCAATTGTAGCTGTTGAGTCTGTACTTTTCATTATAAAAGCTTCTGGCCATTTAGAATATGTGTCCGCAATTATCAACACCATTTCCCTTGTAATGGCCCTAGAAAATCAGCATGTATTCTTTCATAAAAATAATTTCCCTTTCCACAGGCATTCCATGCTGCTTTTCTTGGATCCGGTCTACTTGTCATACAGATATTACATTTTTTTACATATTCCTCTATTCCACTGTCTAATGATGGCCACCAAAAATAAGCACGAGCATTACATTTCATTTTCACAATTCCCTCATGTGTGCTGTGTAATTCACGCAATAATTGTTGTCTCAACTTTATAGGGACTACTACTCGGTAACCCCACATCACTACCCCATTTTCAACAGATAGTTCTCCTTTTCTTGACAAAAATGGCTTCAACAATTCATTTTCAGTATGTTTAGGAAATCCATAGCGAATAAAATTCATCACACTACTTAAAACCGTATCTTTTCTCGTTTCTGACCTAATCATATTGACATCTAAAGGAACCAAATTTTCTACAAAATTCAAATAATCATAAGTTTCGTCTACCTCAGACTCTTCATCTTTATCTGGTAAAGGCAAACGAGAAAGTGCGTCTGCTTTTACATTATCAATGCCTCTTATATGTTTAAAAGAATAGTCAAAATTTGATAAAAATAAGGACCAACGTTGCAACCGTCCAGCGGCCATCTGAGGTAAACTTTTGTTTTCCCCAAAAAGCGCCTGGAGTGGTTTGTGGTCTGAAACCAATTCATATTTCCGTCCAATTAAATATTGATATAATCTTCTTGTAGCCCAATAAATACTTAATGCTTCCTTATGAATCATACTGTAATTTTGTTCTGCTTTTGACAAAATCCTAGATATAAAACAAATGGGTTTTTCAGTACCATCTGCCATAACGTGCATAAGTACTGCTCCAATACCATAAAAACTCGCATCACATGCTAGTCTTAATGGTTTATCTGGATCATAGTGTACTAGGATCTTGTCTGAAGCAATTTCTTGCTTTGCTGTCTGAAAAGCTTCCCTACATTCTTTGGACCAATTGAACTTATTTTCTTTACTGAGCAAATTATATAAGGGCTTTAGTTTCTGTGAAAAATTTAAAATGAACCGTGAATAATAATTTACCAGCCCTATAAATGAACGCACCTCTTGCACATTTTTAGGCTCAGGGGCTTCCAAAACTGCTCTGACTATCTTGCATCTTTTCCAACCCCTTTTCTGAAATTCTGTGGCCTAAATAGTCAATACTATCCTTGAAGAACTCACATTTCTTGAAATTCAACCGAAATCCAGCAGAGCGCAACCTAGATAAAACATCTTTCAAATTTTCTAAATGCTCTGCATCTGTACGCCCAGTGACCACTATATCATCTAAAAAGTTTGTTGTACCTCTAGCCCCCTGTAACACTTTTTCTACAATACCTTGAAATATAGCACAAGCAGGTTTAGTTCCATAGGGAAGACGTTTTACCTTATAAATTCCTTGCGTTGTCGCCCAAGACAACAATTCACTTGTCTCATCATCAAGAACAAGCTGATTGTAGGCATTCAAGAAGTCTAACTTGGAAAACTTAATCCCTCCTTGTAGCGCAGCAAAGATATCCTCAATCCTGGGTAGTGGATAGTTAACATCCTTCAGGTAACGATTTACTGTTATTTTATAATTAGCACATACTCTTATGCTTTTTCCATCAGCCTTCATTACTGGAACTAATGGCGTACCCCACTTAGAATTTGAAACTTTTTCAATACACCCTGTCTCTTCCAACCTTTTCAACTCCACAGCAACTTTTTCCTTAAAAGCGAAAGGAACTGGCTTTGGTTTATGGAAAATTGGTTTGACCTCTGGTTGAATCTCTAACCTAATCTTTTCCCCATTATAACAACCAAGTTCATTTTTAAATAAGTCCTGAAATTCATTCATTAATTCATCTAAAGATAGACTAACTGAATTAATCTCTGCTGAAAATGAACCTAATAATAGATCAAACTCTTTTAGAATATCCCTACCCATTAAAATTTTTTTGGCATCCTTTATTACCAAAATTCTGCATTTTTTTTCAACCTTATTTATTTCAACATTTACTGAAATATGACCCACTGGAAAAATGACTTGACCATTATATGTTCTCAATTTAATATTTGTGGTTTCCAACAGTATATTGGAAAATTTACTATCATAAAATTCCCATGGCATACAGGAAACCCCTGCACCAGTATCCACCTCCATATCAACCTCAACTCCATTGATTTTTACTTTGAAAATGATGGGCTTAACATAATTAAAATCATCAATAACATTGAAAGCATCAACAATCCCTTCAGAATCATCTTCTTCTACAAAAAAGTTTTTTTCATCTATCCCTTTACAAGCAGCAGCTAGATGTCCCTTCTTCCTACATTTCTTACATGTATAAGACTTGTATTTACAAGTTCTGAAAATATGGTTTACACCATTACAATGGAAACACCTTACTTGGTCTTTTGAAAATTGATCTCCCACATTCTGCATCTCTTCTCTACCTCCTGGCCTGCTACCTCCAGCTCTGCCATATTTAGACAATTTGTGCACCTCTATATTAGTAGGCTCTTGAATAATAGATTCCTTATTCATAGCAATCTCCAACAAATCCTTTAGTTGCTTAGAAGGGTCCTCTTCACATAGTCGATCAAGAACTCTTCCTGGTACCATACCAGCAACAAACTTGTTTTTAACAAAATCTTCTAATGTGTTCCCAAAGTTACATTTTGCTGCAACTCTCCTTATACGTACATACCAATCAGCAACTCTTTCACTCGTTCCTTGTTTGAGTGAATCAAATTCAATACGTTTCCGGAAAACAGGTACTCTAGGGCTAAATTGTTGTGCCAAAAGGTTGGTTAATTCCACGTAGGATAATTCTTTTGGCTTCCTTGGCTCACAAAGGTTTTTAATGGTAGTATACACTTCCACAGAAAGAGACGTTAGGAGAACTGAAACCTTTCTAGCTTCTTCCACCAAATTTGCCTCAAACATCTGCTCCAACCTTTCCCCAAAGACTTCCCAATCATCACCTAACTTGAATTGTCCAACTGAGGCACTGGCCCCAGCATTCACAATTGTAATTCGATCCATTTGCGGTGCTGTCGTATTAGGCAATACTATAGGTTCTTTGATTCCTTAACTCGTCGCCATAATTTGTAATGTACTAGCCAAACCGCTAAATAAAAAGGCTATTAATAAACTTGTCCATTTATTATCCGCATACAGACATGATGCCACTCTCCTTAGTTAACCTCTCTAATAATGATTTTCCCTCTATTTTCTCATACGTTGACAACTACATATGACAATTAACCATTGACATTATTGACACATTTATGTGAAGCAATACTACCAACACAGAATGGTGACAATACATCACATTCATGTTACCGATTTCTTGAACAAATGTGTTGGATTATGTGCCATATTCAAATTATATTGTTCAGCGAGGTGGGGGAGAGGGGAATGACATGTGGCAGTTGGAGACATGATGAAAATGTGTCCCCCAGTCTGTTTTGTTTACGTTTACCCACGCAGTATACAGGGTGATTCAGGTTTTAAGGCACAAACTGAAATGGGAGATAGATCTCATCATTTTAATCAAAAAAATTTATATAAACATTAGTCCGATCTCGTTCAGTAACGGAGCTACAGGGGGTCAAAGTACAATTTTTTTTTTCTATTAATTGAAATATCTCGCTTACTTTTCAAGATATCATTTTGAAATTTGGTGTGGTCAATACTTCCTAGAAGATCATCATTTCAAGCATTTCAAAGATTTTCAAAATCTACAGGGTGATACGTTTTTGGAGGTAGAGGCTTCTTTATCCCCTTCAAACTTTTTCCTAGTACGCCTCTGGCATCTTTCAGTGATCAAATTGCGTGGATCGTTCAATTTAGAGGCTTTTTTTGCACCTCATTTTTTGTTTCGAGAAACGAACTGTTTTTGAGATAAATAAGCATATACGTTCGAAAACATTCTAATTTTGCTTATGTTTTGCTTAAATTGTATTCTTTGACAAAATTCGTTGAAAATGCAACAAAATGTTCTAAGATTGCAATGTTCTCACGCACGTTACTTATCCAGATTGGACTCGTGATTTCAATTTTAGTGAGTACATTTCATTGCATTTTCAACGAATTTTGTCATAGAATAAAATATTTAAGCGAGACATAGGCAATATTAACATGTTTTAGAACGTATATGCTTATTTATCTCAAAAACGGTTCGTTTCTCGAAAAATTTATCTCAAAAACGGTTCGTTTCTCGAAAAAAAATGAGGAGCAAAAAAAGCCTCTAAATTGAACGATCTACACAATTTGATCACTGAAAGATGCCAGAGGCGTACTAAGAAAATGTTTGGAGGGGATAAAGAAGCCTGTACTTCTAAAAACGTATTACCCTGTAGATTTTGAAAATCTTTAAAATGCTTGAAATGATGATCTTCTAGGAAGTATTGACCGCACCAAATTTCAAAATGATATCTTCAAAAGTAAGCGAGATATTTCAATTAATAGAAAATAATAATTAAACTTTGACCCCCTGTAGCTCCGCTACTGTACGAGATCGGACTAATGTTTATATAAACTTTTTTGATTAAAAGGATGAGATCTATCTCCCGTTTCAGTTTGTGCTTTAAAACCTGAATCACCCTGTATAATTAATTACAAAAGTAATACATTTTCTGTGTTTATAATTCTTAATCGCTCCTTTTATTATCCATATGCTAGGTGCTGGGTGTTCAACGTATATCACCCAATAAGTGGAATGTGGAAGCCATCCACTCCAAAAATATTGTTCCCATTACCCACCTTCTGGTTGCTCTCGCCAGGCACTTCAGACCACCAGTGAGACTACCAGAACATGTTGCAGTGTATGTTGTCATTGTGCAGAAAGTGAAAGGACAGCTAGTCCACAAGAGAGTCAGGGAAAGTTTAACGAAAGCTTATGATGATGTTGGGATGAGGTGTGAAAGAGATGCTTTCGATACCCTCATTGATCATGCTCCAGAAAAGTTGCTGGTCGTTAAAAAGGTAGGTCATTTATTTCCTGCTGATAGTAGAGATTGGTCATATTATAAATGATTCGAAAAAAAAAATTGTAATGGTCAATATATTTTGGATAACCATATCAATTGGATATGGATATTGGTGGATTCCTAATACATTCATTATTAATATGTTATCCCATTATAGAGAATGGAGCATAGGGATTAGGGAAACTGTATTCATAAATACCCACATTTGCATTACACCACTGACCGATAAACAATGATACATAAGGATACGTGACCAACAAGGGAGTATTAGAATTGGTTGAGACATCTGCGCATTATGCGCCAACGTCAGAACTTCATGTCTCTCCCCCCTGTTTGGAGATCTTGTTAGAACATATGTCTAAACTCCTTTTAAATTTTAGCAGAGCCGGCTAAGTACAATATACGTACTGCGCATACTCGTCAACCGACCTTTCCAAGCTAATCACGTGGTATCAGCGAGTTTAATTAAGCGTAAAACTGGGAGCTAGCATTGTCTTTCCATTTGTTGTAGATAGATCAGTGCGTAACACTAAGCCATTAACAAGTGGAGCCTCTAATCATTTTAATTATAATGTAGTGAGAAAGTAATTGCAATGAATGGCTCATGAATTCATATTCACAACCATAAATGTAATTTCAACTAGGAAATAGCAACAATGCTCAAAGTGGAATGAAATGTTGAATAAATACAAAAAAGCGCAATTTCATTTCCACAAATGTTCATCATATAAACAACAACGGTAGATGACGGGAGAGAAACAACCACTTTCCTGGTTAATCTTTGGCAGAACATTGAATTACATCCTCCCGAAATCTATGCATTGACATGTATAATGTATAACCGAATACTAATGCTTAATGTGTTTCTTTCCCTAATGCCCATTGATGGGTAAATGCAACGAGATCTACAGACCGGTTTCGAGCTTTTGGCCCTCATCAGTGTAGAGTAGACTCCAGCTATCAGTCCGAAGACCGCCGGCTAAGCGTAACCTGGCCCAAACAAAACCCATGAGAGCCAAAAGCTTGAAACCGGTCTATAAGTGTCATTGCGTTAACCTGGCTAAATTGAAATCAATGGGCATTAGTTTTTGATGAATTTTGAATGATGAAATGTTTACCTAGAGTTATATAATTATGTACTTCCTTATACCAGATCCTTTTCTTTCTGGAAGTTATTTGGTTAATGAATAAATAAATGAAAATAAATAAAAAAACACTTGCATTAGTACTCCACTATATGTAGGGATTGATAGATTTTTGGAGGATGTAATTCAATGTTCTGCATGGCATTATCTAGGAAAGTAGTTGTTTTTCTCCCATCATCTACCCTTATTATTCATTTTATGAACATTCTTGGAAAGGACTGAGCTTTTTTGTTTTTGTAATGTTGTGATTTGGACCTGGTAAATGTCTTTTTATTCGTTGATGGTTCCTTCCCACCCTGGTCCAGAATGAAACAAATGTACTGGTAGAATGTAAGGGCCAGTTCATCAATCATCCTGATATCTCTCAGCTTCCTGTCAAAGTGTTTCTTTATGCTTAGAAAAATGTAACTAGAATCCAATTCAAGATTTCATTTGATAGATACTTTGAACTTCCTATTTGTTACCTTACCAAAATCTAAATTGGGCACGCAAGCTAATCAACTTGTCTATTTTTGTATAGCCAATTAATCAACTTCTGCTGGCATTGAGGTTTTATGATAAGTACAGGAAACGTCTACTGCCATACTGGAAATTTAATCCATGTATGTAAGCTACTGTCTATGAAAAATATTTGTTCAATGAAAATTTTCGTAAATCACTTCAGAAATCCAACAATAGAGAAAAAATATCAACAAATGACCAGATTTTAGAAAAAAACTTGCATTGAGATTAAGAAGAGAAGGAAGAGAGGAGGAATAGAAACAAGAAAAACGAATTAGAGAAGTTTTTCTGGCATTTCTAGAATATCAGTGTTTTAACAGATGAACAAAATTTTTTTTCTCCAAAAACTTATGGCAGTCTTTTTTTTCTAGACCCTTTTTCTCACCTAATTAACTATTCATTGCCAATGAAAATATTATATTGGACCATTGACGACTATTGATTAATTTATATAATTAACTACTGGTTGACTAATTTTTAACTGTTCATTCTTCAAAGTATGTTTTACTTTTTAGTCACTTGTAACATTTGTCAACAAACACCTCAACAAGATAAACTTCGAGATTACTGAAATTGAAAGTCAGTTCCATGATGGGGTGTATCTGATAATGTTGATGGGCCTGCTGGAAGGGTTCTTTGTTCCACATTATGTGTTCCATTTGACTCCTCATGAGTTTGATCAAAAAGTACAGAATGTTAATTTTGCATTTGAACTGATGGAAGAAGTTGGGTTGCAGAGACCTAAAGCTAGGCCTGAAGGTAAGAAAGTTCACCCTCTATAATGTTTCGTTAAGAGCTTACCACCTCTGCAAAATTTTCATTTTAAAAAGTTCTATTAGGGATTGTTTTACAGAAACTAAGGACGGATTACCATTGAGGGTCACTTAAAAAACACACCTGTAGCACGTGTAGATTTTGATCATTCTTGAACAATTGTGTGCAATATTTCCGACTCAGCAGACACCAAATTGTCAGCTCAATGGTTATTTCTGAGGAACGATAATTATTGAACCAGTTAAGCGCGTTCTACAGTGGTAATTTGCAGGGTTGGCATGAATTAATTCATATGAATTAAATCAGTGATTTAATTCGTGAATTAATTCCATTGACTTTTTTCGAATTCATTCAAATTTTCAAAAATGGGACGAATTGCACTGTTACCTTTGATTTTAACTAGTTTAAACTGAAAAATTCGATCGTATTTTGGCAAGTCTTTGTTATTTCAAGCATGACAGAGATTTTTACTAACAGATAGATAGATAGAGAACATGTTTATTATCACAGCATCGAATTTTTTTTCTCTCGGAGATCCATTGTGCATATTCGATAACTTGAAAATCGATTTTGACACATGTCACGTGATCACTGGTATGGTGATAAATAAAAATAATACTATAAAGCGACGAAAAGTGGGGTTAGATAACAAAATATTCATAAACATTTCTTATTAAGTTACTATTCCACATTCAGTTTCGAGCAATTTTTGGAGGAGAATTTGAAATAGCTAGGTATATTTTTTCGAATATTCTTCAATTTTGTTACAATTCTTTTTTTTTTCTGGCAGTAGTGATGTTGATGATGTACAAGTTGAATAGAATTCAATTTCATGCTCACATATGGAGTTTCCAGCCATTATTTGAGAAAACTGAAAATAGCAATTTTTTTTTTTTAAATAACTTTCTTCCCATCTAACCCCACTTTTTGCCATCGTAATTTTTTAAATTTACCGTCATACCAGTGATCAAGTGACGTGTCAAAATTGACTTTTAAGTAGTCAGACATGCATAATAGATCCCCGAGAAAAAATGTTTCGATATTCTACCAATAAACTTTTTCTCCATGTGTTACGAACTTTATGATACTGGATCTATATGTTTCTATTATTTTCTATTCTATCATCACTGTTAATTTTGTTTTGAAAAAATGACATGTTATATTATGATATCATTCTACAAGATTTCTGAAGGGAAAGAAAACATAGTTTTTTTGTTTCTTTATTTCTATTTCACTTTGGGTAAATGAAATTTGTTTGTTTTTTTTTTTCAAATGAATTAATTTTAAAAAGTCTGACTTAATTCAAAAAGTCGGACTTTGATGACTTTTTCATAAAAGTCATGACTAATTCCAACCCTGGTAATTTGTGAATTCTATATTCCTCTACTTCAAACATTTTTCGAAAGGAATCACTGACGATTGATTGCATTCTTCTTTTAGGCTCTTTAACAGTGAACATCTGATTTGTCTTCACTACACATAGATAGATAGATAGATAAATAGATTTATTCAGATTCAGATTGATAACATTTTCAATATAACATTATACGAAGTCAAAAAAAAAAAGAAGTACATCATGCTTAACAATCTGAGGCCACCTAAGTTGAGCTTGTATTGTGGAACTTCAGACTGCGAAAGTCATGAGTATAGCCCTCATACGTACATACATACATGTATATACATATATATATACATACATATATATACATCCATGATCAAATTTAGAAGATGTAATATACATGTTTTATTTGGAACTAACTACCCTTATCAATTATACCTATACTAATACAATGAATAGAATGAATACTAATTGTATTATAATGAGTGAGTGAGAGGAAGAGAGAGAGGAGAGAAGAGAAAGAGAGAGAGAGAGAGACAAATATTTGCTCATTCGAAAATATTCCGCAACTTATAATGATTTGCAATAAATAACTTTATTTCTGATTTCAGTTTCTTATGTGTCTTGATATTCTTTATAGAGACAGGTAATTGATTATACAATTTAGGACCAAAATAAGCTATAAATTTTTGATTATGACATAATATATTGATGTAATACTCAATTTTTTTTTATAAAGACAAGGAATCCCAGAAATCCTAGAGAAACATAATTATAGTCCACCTCCTTGATTAAAGTACAAGTGAAGAATTGATGCAAAATTCAATTTCATTCAGTGAGAACATTTCCATATATGCGGCAATAATTTCGCAATATAAAATCGACCTCCGACGCACTATTGCCCTACACTCTATATTTCTCAATATAACAAAAACTGCTGATTGACGACTATATGGGTGGATCAAATGTTTTAGGCCAGCTGACAAATACATACAGCATAATTATATCACTTCAAACGACCCTCTTCTATATCTCAGCTATTAGTCGTGCGATGCGACCAAATTTGGACCAGTATGAATAACCATCAATATGATCAGTTTTTCAGGGACGAACATCATTTTGGACAGTGCCGTGCGTTTTTATTGAATGAAAAGAAATAATTCTTTTATGATATCCGATTCTCAGATACCATACTTTATTCAAATTTTTTACATATTATATCACTAGAATTGGTGGTGGTGATTTAATCATCATTTTTCGCTAGCGAGTACAAGAAAACGCGGTTATAATATGGGTTTGAAAGTAATGCTCTCTGAATTTCGTTTATTTTTGCAGATGTTGTGAATATGGACTTGAAATCAACACTACGGGTCCTGTACAGCCTTTTTTTACGTTACAAAACGATTCAATGAATAGTCATGGAATAGTATCTGAAACTGCCTTAATTTTTGTAAGTACTAAAATTCTAACTATTTATAATATTGTAACTAAAAATGTTATCATGGTTAATTGTATATTTTGTATAATGTTATAGGGTCTCCCTGTAAATAAATAAATAATAAATTAATTTGAAATTTGTTTTTCTATAATGCCTTCTATAGTCCCTTCCTATCCAACTATGACAGCGTTGGAAACCATAGAGATCGCTGACTTTCACTTCGATATGATAATATTGGATTCAATATTACACATTTAATATTATGACTTATGACGTGACGTTAAGATTGGAGTTTTCTTTGTTGAAAAAGTATCACATTATCGCATGGCCCAAATGGTGCATCCAACTATTAGCTGAAGACTAGAAACAAGTGATGATGATGAATGCTTTTGAAATTGTGGAGATTATATAGATATTCTAATAAAATGACCGAAAAAAGTTAGGGATATGGTGTTTTTGCTATGAATCAAAATTCGGATTTCACTAGAAGCTGTAGGTCGCGCTCTTCCTAACCTTGCACAAGTTTCGACTTCTAGGGAGTTCGTTCCCAACTTGAAAGTAAGAAAATACAAGTTTCAAGAATTTTACAGATAAGAAGTTTTGTCGTTAGCGTTCAAAAATATCCTCAGTCAATTCCCAGCCAACCATCGTGTGACATCAACATCTGTGTGATGTAACAACCTTGCATGAATGTAATATCTCGTTAACACATCTTATCGACGTAGATTCGATATCAACGTCGCAAGGTGACATCGCGACCAGGAAAATATGTAATGTGGCAGAGACATCTTCAAACTACATCTCTTCGACGTTTAAATAATTCACATTGATATCCTCATGAGATATCTTTGTGAATGAGTCCGACTCCGTACAGACTATTTCCTTCCAAATTCTCTGTTGAAATATCTGAGATGATTTATAGCACACATATTATTATAGCAGTTTCAAATTGGAGGTATACAATCATTTAAGAACGACGGTCGTGAGTTCAATCACAATAGGTAATATTGTGATTACCTCTGAGATAGGACTATTGCAATCTAAAACAAGGTGGATGAAAGATCCCAAGATAATGTAAGTGTATTAGATATGTATCATTTATGAATAATGTGTATTTGTATTGTATTGCTATATATATGTGTCATGTTTTACTTCAAGATTACTAATTAGGGTGATTGTCATGATAAGTTTTGTATCATCTGTTTTTACTTTCGGAAAATAAACATTTTCTTCGTAAAGTTGAATGATTATTATTATTATATATCCCACGAATATCACAGCAGGTACGGCGACCACATCATCGATGTCGCAGTGTGATGTATTTGTAATATGAAATGTACACTTGTATGTGACCTGGTGGTGATTTTGCATGTGATGTCGCATTTCATGTCTGAACGACGTCACAGTGATGTTGCTTGAGTCGGACATTTTCACATCGCCACGTTGTATCGGTAGCATGTTTGTGACTTCAAATGCGATATCGCATGTCACAAAGTGATGTAGCGTATACATCACTTATACATCTCATGGTTGGCTGGGTTGTCATTCTTTCTATGATACAATAATTGATACTTGTCACATATGTTCCATATGTCTGTGTATCTTATTATTATTATTATTATTGGGTAATGTGTACTGAATTTTACTTCTTCAACACCTCGTGGTAATCAATAAATCGTTTCAATATTTAAAAACTCCTTTTATTATTTTCGAATTATAAACCAAACAGGTTATGGGCCCAGATCCTGCGCTGAATTGCGTATATAGTGATCTAAAACTGAAAGTCGCATTCGATGAGTTTTTATATTTAATTGAGCGCATAAAGTGAGGTTATGATTAGTACTTAGACTACTGGCACAAATACTTCGTCTACAAATTCTATCACTATTGCAACGTCCACATTGGCTGCACCAGTCACTATTTCAACATCATTACCTAACATCGACAATCTCGATGGTCAGGGGCAAATTATGGTTCCTGGAAGGTTGCCATGGAAATGAAATGAAACATCGTGGATGAAATTGAATCAGTGACGGACGCAAATAGTGATGAAGACATGAGAGCATCAGCTCAAATATGCCTTTAGTGTGAAACCTTCGTGGTATGTCCAAGTGCAAAATGACAACAAATCCAAAGATGTTTGAAACAATATAAAAGCTGCTTTCGAGGGCACCAGTATGAGTAAAGTATTTGACCTAACCAGACGGCTCGCCAATAGCCACCAATCACATTTCAGCAGTATGGAATGATTTATAAATGATGTTCTTCAAGCTCATGAGAAACTACAAGACATGGGTGAAAAGGCGGAGGACAAATATCTCTCCTTTGTTCTCATGAATGGTGCAGATGATATGATATGAAGCACTCATCATATGCTCTCGTGACAAGAAAACTCCTTCATCATCTAAAGGAGTCAAAGTTGCTCTCCTCTGGAAGAAATGCCCGCAGAAGAATGAAGAATCATAATGAGAAGTCAACCGCTTTGCTGTCGCATAGTCATGTCAATAAAAACAATAGAATATTAGAAGACTGGTTATACAGACAAAATTGTATGTCATGAATATAATGAACCAGGTCACAAACGTCCTGATTGTCCCAGAAGAAACTCTTATCATCCAGTAAGATTTAATACAAATAATAGTCGAGGTAGTAACAGGCACTCTACCAACACGAATAATGCTTAATTCTGGTTCTGCAATTTTGACATCTGCTCCAAAAGAGTCGCGGATTTTGAGGTGTGTTCGTTTGTGTTTCTGATCTTGCTATAAAGTTGATTTTGTTCTCATAGTTGTCTCTGTTCATGGCATAATGTAAACAGAGAGTCATAGAAAAAAATCAAGTTTAGTAGGTAGAGCAAACACAAACGAACATGCCTTCCTGTAAAAGAGACTGGATAACAGATTATTCTGATGGCCAAAATATCACTATTGCTGACAGTGGCACTATAGTTTCTAATGGTAATGGAAATATTCCTGTAAATTTTGGATGTAAGGATGCCATTATATCATTGTATGGTCTGGTAATAATAAGGTTGATGTATATCCCACATATTCCTGATGAGAAACGTATAAAAAATCAGTTGAATGTATTTTGGTGGGTTATGGTGAAACTGTGAAAGGTCTTTTACTTGCTGATAATCCTAAAACTGTAATCTATGCTAGAGATGTTGTCATCATTGAATCAGTTCCATGAAATAATAGAGTCTCACATAAGTCAATTAGTGATGACAACAATGTTGAATTAGTCATCAGTAATATACAGATGCGGTGGGTATTCTCGTGATGATATTTCTGATAGTATAGTCAGTCAGATACTGAGGAGCTAGGTAATGGAGAAAATGTTAATCTACAATGGATAGGTTCCTGTAAGAGAAAAAAACCATAAAAAAAATATGATTTTGATGCTGCTTTGGAGCGTACTGATAAAAATTTGTGGATTGTGGAAGCTTCATCCAGTAATGAAACTTGGGAGTTAATGCGGCGTCCGATTCACAAGAATGTGGTGAAATGTAAATGGGTTTCAAGACTAAAAATAGCATAGCGATTCGCCATAAGGCAAGGCTTATGGCTAGAGGTTTCTCTCAAAGATATGGTGAGGATTGTCTTGACACATTTGCTCCTGTTATAAGGCTCACATCTCTTCGGGTATTGTTTGGTCTTGCTGCTCATCTAAACCTAGAAATGGACCATGTGGATATCATCCCAGCATTCCTTTATAGGGACGGATATCCCATGGAGCAGCCTGAACGTTTTGTCAAGAAAGGTTCTGAAAATATGGTTTGCAATGTCGAAACATGATCTCTGTGTGTATGTAAAGAAACTTGATGATGATTCAATTAAATAATAGTGTCAGTGTCCTGAAGATGAAACAATAAAGTTTCGAAACGTCGACACTCTAACAATTGGTTTTCTTCAACATTTCGACCGAATTCCCGCTATCAACACCAAAAATCTTATTATTATTATTGCGTAATGTGTACTGAATTGTACTTCTTCGACACCTCGTGGTAATTAATTAATTGTTTCAATATTTAAACTAATTTTATTATTTTCGAATCATAAACTCAACAGCATATTCTCACGTGTCTGTTCTCGGTTACTTTTACTGTTTTTTTTGTAAATTTTGAAAATATACTCCTTCGAGGCAGATTGAGACCCCACCGTCAAGTCACATACCTTTCGTGATATTAACTGAGAAGGCAGATTGAGACCTCAGTGAAAAATCACCTTTTTATTTCTATTTTTCAGTTCTTGAAAATGGCTCCAAAATCGGTGCCGAAACGTCGAACATCTACAGATTTTAGACCCGATATCCTAGTTTTCATATACACCCTGTCCCAGCTAAAATGCCCCCCCTGTAAAAAATCAACCGCGCGATCGAATGACTTGAAATTCGGTCACCCAGTATATTTGAAGATGCTCAATTAAAATATGCTATTGAATAAACCGTAGGTATACAGGGTCACACCGAAGTGCACCTAAACTTTTCTATTTGAAGATGCTCAATTAAAATATGCTATTGAATAAACCGTAGGTATACAGGGTCACACCGAAGTGCACCTAAACTTTTCTATTTGAATAGGGACACCCAGTATATTATTCCTTATTCAAGTAGAGTTCATATTATTACAAATTCAACAATGCCGGGTTTGATGGGGTTTCTCCAAACGAGGAGATATGGCAAAAAATAAAACGATTCAATAAAAAAATTATATGATTAGATTTCATTGATATAACACGATTGAAATCGAATGAAAAGAAAATAATTGAAACCTCAACTGCTCCCCAGATAACACAGGATCTATGGATATCCTTCTCAAGTCCATTTCAGGTCGGGATATCCTGGGACATGAAATGGATATCCATAGGATATCCGTCAGAGGATATCAAATGGATATTCTGATGCGGATCACCTATGGACGTCCATAAGATGTTCGTTTAGCGAACAAAAATTGTTAATTGAGAATGGTTCAAAACAATTCGAATCATCACAAATATCACATGCAAATCACATGTTTATTAGAAATTCAAAGGTAGTTTTCCATCATATAACTATTGTTATGTAGGTATAATATGTTTATAGTCACAATTAAGATATCCGATGCAAATATGAATTCATAAAAATAACAACACCAC